GAAAGAGAAAAATCAGCAATTCTTACTGGAATCTCAACCTTGGAAGACAGAAGGATACAGGACATGAATCAACTCCTGCATTTCTGTACAAACATGAAATCCAGGGTGGCTGTTCAGAAAAAATAATGTAGTGAGTTGTCTAGAGGGAGGCTGAATTTCCCACCTTAATTAAGATCTAACGATTAAAAGTCTTCTACTTAAAGACCATGCAATAAATCTTCGGCTTAAATGTTATTTCCATCTTTACCAGGTATAAATGAAATAAATTAATAACAATTGCAGAGATTTATTGGAGAGTGGTAAGTCTTTGTTGTTGAAATTACTCAGAAGAGAGGATGGAAATACACTGGAAGTAGTGGGAAAAAAGCTAGAGCACTGGTCCCTATAGAAGCGCCCCTGGGCATTTGAAAGAATCAGTCAGCTGAAATAATGTTTGTCAAGAGATTTCTGGCAATGGAAAGAGGAACATTGTTATGGGACCTACCAGCATAGAGCATGTGCCAAGAGCCGTGTAAAATAGGTCTTGATACAGGAATAGATACAGACTTGTTCAGGCTCTTTGGGACTTTTAAGAGCAAAAGAACTGTTCAGGAATTACGAATTATTTTCAATAGGTAAAGGTGCAGTAAAAATGTTTTATTAAAGTTAGAATTGGTGCCTTTGGAGGTAAAACCTCAGAACAATTGTAACATAGAAAGACTGACCATAGTGAGATGTTACAATGATTTCTTGCTTTGTGAGATGACCATCTGTTCCTAAAATTAGATTCTTTGCTCTTAAAGCAGTAACAAAAAAATCACGGACTTCTTGGCAGTAATGTGCAACTCCCCGTAATAATGCGCAATATTTTTTTAAGTTAGAGTTGTTCTGCTAAACTAATGTTGATTTTTATCTTTCACAACTGACAATGAAAATAAGTGCTCAGACAAAGACAAGTGTGGTCTTTCTGAATGGCAGTCTAAACGACTTGTAAAACCTCTTCTAAATATCTGCTCTGCTAACATTGATTCTATGAAATTGTGCCCTGCTTTCTCTGTGGTGGGGTTTTGATCAATAGTTAGGAAGGAGTCTCCCAGAGTCTGAATAGTAAGGAAAGCAGATTTGCAGAACACATTAGGTGCTTGATCATCTAACCTGCTTCCCACTGAATACCTACTCCTGCAAATTTAAAATATGTCTCCAGGGTCATCACACCGCACTGGCTTCACACGCCAAGTGGATTTTATGCTACCTACAGGGACCACATTATTTTGTGCACATAGCGTGTAAAAGACTCCAAACTCTGTTATCCTGCACTGGAATATATGCAGCACCAATTATGTAACAGGGACCAAACTAATTTTTAAGAGCTTAAAGAAATTTCACTTGCCTTCATGAAATGCACACTTCTTAGGACCTAAAAGCTGTACTTACTCAGTTCTAAACACAAGCTAAATTATACTTCAAGGAAGTGATTCATTATAGTCATTTTTATTCAGAGCCTCATTACTTCTGGTATCTGAGTAACTTTCTTGTTGATAAATTGACACAGTTTTCACTTTTTTTCCCCACTTTGCTTCTTATCTTTAAAGATCAGCAACAACTAATCATAGCAACTATGGATTTTGTACGCACATCATTTCCTATTAAAGGAAATGCAGTGTATTACACGTGAGTCACTACAAAATGAAAAGTTTTCATTATCTGTTCTTTTGAATAAAATTGATATTCATGGTACCGTGCTGCTGCAAATTACCATCAAACCATCAATTACAGTGTTGACTAATAGTTTTTTTATAACTTTGCTCCTCAACAGGAAAGCAAGCAGTTT